CCACTCCTACTGTACTTCCACACGGTATGGGTATTGCATATTGTGGGGTAATGATTAGGGCTCAGGCCAGGAATATGCTTTAATCGACAGCTATCTTGGACCAGTTCACTTAAGCTTCTCTGCATTATATTTCAGTTTCTAACATCGGAGACACAGATTCTGTGTTGCGAGCGTCCCGGATTTTCTTCTGTTCGCGTTAGCGATAGGTAGTGCAGCGAACCCGAATGCAGCACTACTAGTGCTATGATACTCGCTCTCTGTAGTCACGGATGTAACACGGTTGTAGCCAAGAGCAGATTCCGTGTTCTTCTATATGACTTCACTGATGATTACCTCATTACCTCTCAGCGTCAATCCGAGGTCTCACAACCGTCGCCTCCTCCGAGGAGGTTCCGAGGAGGCTTCTCGGAACCGACTTGCGCATGGTTAAGCAAGACAACTCGGAATGACCTATTCTCACAGCCTGTGAACGAGGACGATCTTCCTAGTACTGCATTATGCATACAATACCCCATTATACCATATATCTATGGACCAACCCGTATCAATGAGGTTGTAGTGATAATTCACTGGTTAACCCGAAACCAATGAGCGTTCCCTCAATAGTTGAGGGAAACGCTCATTGGTTTCTATAATAGTTGAGGTTCAATTCTTCCTCGGAGTTCCCACACATGTCACCAACACACGTAGTCGATCATGTGCATATTTCCTCACACTGCATCCGGTTCTCCCAAAGTTTGCTTTCCTGGGGAACCTAGACACAGCAATACAAACCACGCCGCTCAATCACCATGCTCTGCAATCCGGCGTCCAGCATTGCTGGACCAGCAACACCCGATCACCGGTACCAATCACAAGGAAAATGAAATGTATTGCTGATCTCAAATTGATAGTTTTTTCCCATGACATATCATGGGCACGAGCAGTCATCAACAAAAGCAATGGTACAGCTATGAAGACTGGCCCCTCTAAGTCATAATACCAGACAGTAGACCATGTATAACATCAGGAGTAGTGGAGCTTCAGCAGTCAAAACCAAATCTTCAAATCCACCACTCAGAACATAGACCACCGACTGATTATCCACGCAAATTTTTCGTCGCAAAAACAGGTACCATTACTCACCAGTCTACCAGCCATACTCAGTAACCACCATATAGCATGGAAGACATCAGCCAACTCAGCATAGTAGATCGAACCATAGGGACTGAGCGGCACTGCCTTCTCACATAGAACGTACCCATCAAGCACACATCTATAGCCACATCCTACTTTACCATCAGCCTTTGATCCATAAGAGAAAACTGTCAGGATCCCATCTTTAAATTTACTGAATTTAATTCAGAAAACATGTTTTCAGCACATCTCTTGAACTCCTTTTCAGTGCCATCTTTCTTCATAACGCCTTGAGTCAAGGCGTTATACGGTCGGTTAGACATCGGTCAAGGCCCTTGACCGATGTCAGCGAAAACAGCGCAGTACTTATCTATGGGTCTCTGCTCTTGGAGTTAAACGTTGAGGAAGAGCATCTGGTAGTAGACCTGATAGTTCGACCATCACATCATCGAATCTGTGCAGTGGGGCTCTTCCCTTCAATTTTCGAGAACCCGTCCAATCATCCAAGTTCAACGGTGCTACATGAGTGTGAGACAAGGACTGAGCCCGGAAAGTCCACCCTATAATGGCCAGATCCAGGAGATAGTTGATTGGCTCCAGTCCAGACTCGCGCAGAACCAAGTCAGCAGAAGTTTGTTTCGGCAACCCAATAATGAGTCTCGCACCAGCATTCTGTGTAATCTGCAATTTAGCTAGCACTCTCACGCTAGCAGCAACTCGAGTGCATAACGCATATCTCATCCTAGACTCCGCTACTGCTTGGTACGTAGACCTAAACACAGCGGCCGAGTAACCAAAGTTCGTCCCTGCGACCGCATGCACGAGACTCAACCTAGCCTCAGGATTACACACCAGGGCATCAACATTTGCCCGACAGCTCAGACCTGGATCTAAGATTATACCTAGATACTTTAGCGTCGGTGTACTTTCTGCTGCTGACCATACAAAGGCAACCTCGGTGAGGACTTGGCACTTCCGAGTATGAAAGCGATGCACTGGGTCTCAAGGGCGTTTGTAGTAAGCTTCAAATCGTCTGCCCAGCTTTGCAGAGGATTCAAAGCTGTCTGCATCAATCTCTCTGCTCTGGTACTTGATTCAGACTTAACTAACAGCAAGATATCATCCGCAAATCGCAGCACTAGACAGTTTTCACCCAGAATACCTTGGAACTGTGAGGCCAACACAGCGAATAACCATGGTGAAACCACACTTCCTTGAGGTGTACCACAGTTCGGCCGCATAGTCTCGCTAACAGAGTTCCCACACCGTACACGAAACTTCCTATGTTTCAAGAAGTCATTCAACCATACCAAGAGCGGCTCTCATCAAGAGTCTTGAAGAGCCTGCCACGTATACCAACCCCTCTAAGTATCAGCGTCAATTTCTGAACCCAGGCAGTGTCAAAGGCCTTGGACATATCAACTGCTACCCAAACAATCGCTTAACATGCAGAGCCTTGATAACCTTCATGAACAAAATGAAGGCCTCTCATGAGTACATCTTCAGTGATGTGACAAGGCCTGTATGCCGCTTGACTACCAAGGATAGGTGGGTTCGCGTTTTCTGACCGAAAGGTGAGTTTAGCTTGAAGAGTCCGCTCAGCAGCTTTACAGCACACTGATGTCAAGGATATAGGCCTAAAATCTGCCGCCCCAACACACATACCCGCCTTCTTTGGAATGCTTCCTATTTTAGCTCTTTTGCATTCCTTAGGCAACCTACCCATCATGAAAGAGGTAGTTGAGCCTCTCCCTCTTTTTGCAGCCATAACACCTCAATTCCATCTTGATTGGCCCAATTTTCATCCTCAAATTGATAGTATGAGGCCAGGACCTACCTCACTATGCTGCTCATCCCCAGTAGACGCTAGTTAATTGGGCTCTCGACTTTGGAAGCCAGGGATAGGCGAAGCCTGATGACACTTGTTGGGTCTTGAAGGTTAGCGATATCGTGACCATCATTTTGACGCTCACCGCAGGCGCTGATGGTATCTCGAGCTGACCATATCTGTATGCAGCAAGCTCATAAGAACTTCAATACACACCAAATACATACAAATATTTGCTGAGTTCGATGAGAAATCACTACAGTACATACCTGTATAAAAGAACCGCATGCACTTCACGTGAATTTTCACGTCGCGTAGATTGAGGTGAAAGATATGTCGGCACTATAACTTTGAGATACACCCTTATGTGAACAATTTCAAATTGTTCACAACACAAATTGTCAATTTGTGTTGTTCACGACATCCTTGGGGAGACCAGTTCCATGAATGACCTGAACTATTTTGTGTGAAAGTTGTTGAGTTGAGTATCTTATGTTCTCGTATGGAAGATACGAAGGAGGTTAAGTTGACTTCCACTTGCCGACACAAGAACATCTTCAGCAATATCACATCACAGGAATTCACATGGAATATATGAATGAAGACTACTTGAA